ATGGTCACCCCCTTTATGTATGGATTTAACCTACCAAAGATAAGACAATCCTGTAAAAGATTTCTGTTTGATCAAAAAATAAATGTTTAGAACAAGGATAACTATCTCTGCTCTGTGGAAAAACATTTGTCTCCAGAGTGTGTTTTAAAATGTATAGACAAGACATAATGTGAAAATTGCACACACGTTGTGTTCATAAAATGTGCCAAAATTCCAAAAATGTGCAAAGCTGTTTTGTGATGTAGATTTCTTTATGCATGGTACATTATAAGGTTGCAGAGACTTTAACAGACTGCAGTAGTGATAGGCAACCACTCATTTCTCTTAATTCTTTTACATTTTACAACATATTACGCTGATGCCACATATTACAGCCAGACACTGACCAATATGAATATATAACAATATTTTTATGGTAACTTTGACCCTTAACTTTGACAAATTTCTAATTGATTGTATCACAAAAAAGACACTGTCCCAGGTAACAGCAAACATTGCTCTAGTGCTCAAAAAGGTCACAGGCTTCCCTTAAATGTACTATTACTTTATTACTACAGTATGTCTATGGCAGTGCTTTGTCACCTACAACCTAACTATCAAATAAGTAGATTTGTATACCTGTAGAGATCAAAAATAGTACGGGACAAAGTATTTGTAGCTTCCAGCAGCACCCAGAATACGCTGCTGAAACACTCCTCTCCCCAGGCCGAAATGTTGGTGGGTTTATTTCAGTTTTCCCGAAAGTCGCTGCGAACTTGCACTGAAATCTGAGACTGCAGGCAGGAACTTTCACTAGGCCTCTTGCAGGCTAAAGCTCTGAAGGTAAAGTCAGAGATCATAGAAACATGGAGTTGCAGCCACACTGCACTAACATTTGTCTTAGGATATTTGTGAATCTAACAAAATACTCTCTTCTAACATAGTGACAACATGCACATACTTTCTATGGGTTAGTACCATCTGTTTAAAATGCAAACTGGTTTAAAGGGAATAATGTGCTTCCCAAAACCTGAGAAGATCTGTTATTATTTATGGTGGTATAATGAGGATAAATAACTTTTAGCCTCTTGACCAGATAAAGCTGGAACATATGAAATGGGAAAGGGGTTTGAGAAGGTAGACGTAAGATACTGAATAATATGGGTTAATATTAATTATTATTCATATACAGTTAATATGATCTAATATGAACAAAGATAAAGATTGGGCTGGTAAATTAAAAACTATATGTATTTCTATTTTTGGCCACGAGAGGTCAGTGGCAGACCACTCATTGCAGTTCTTTGTATTCAGGCACTTCATCCAATTGTTCTCAAAAACTACAAAGGAAGTGATCAAAACTGCAAACACGTTCATTTAATAATATCGGGATTTTTTTTCTAACCATCACACAGAAAACACAGTGACTGAGTGCAGATTCGTACTCTCAATATTCTTTAACTTGCTCCTAATGAAGAGAAATCTGATTATTTATTATACTAGTACTAAACCTTCGACTCTATTGAGTTTGATGTTGCATGTAAAAGAGATTGTTTATTAAAGCCAGTTGGTGTGATCTGAATGAAATGAATCTATATCCTGATATTCATGATTCATTTTCACTTTGTTTATCTAATTTAAAGCACTGCATTCAGCCTTGAGAAGTCCTCTTCATTAAAAGTGTTTTCTGGATCCGCTAAGAAACCTTCATTCATTCATTCATTCATTCATTCATTCACATCACTGCATCAGCATGTGGTGTTGTGGCCTTTTGATTATACAAACCTATATTATTAAGATAGATTAAGATAGAAGATTAAGATAATTAAGTCCATTTATTTTATCTTGTGTTTACTATCACTATAAAAAAAGTCTTATTTTCCATTAATTATGGCTTTCTATCCCTGTTAGGAACTTTCGTGGAGGTTAAGTATTCATATCAATTAGCATGAATGTATATTTAATAATAGCAATGTGCAGTCAGCGGACATAAAATAAAACTTTTATGATGTCTTTGCCCCAAGTACATTTTTACTGAGGTACTGTTACCTCATTAGTGAACTCCTACTTCAGTAAATCGTCAGTAGGACAGCAGTTATCTGCTGTCTGTGCTGCTCCTTTCCCTCTGGTCAACATCAACTCCCCATTTTCCCTCAGAATTAACCATTTGTGAACTTCCTCCTGTCTGTCTGTAGAGGGCGCTGCAGTATCACAAACTAATACCATGTGTTCAGAAAAGAAGCAGGGGATTTTTTACAGTGTGTTGTGTTTGACAGGAGAACTGCATCTCTATTAACTCTTTCTAAATTGATATTGTCAGGAAGCAACACAGACCCAGAACTAGCTGAAGTATTCACATTAACACACAATAACCGGCCCACAGTGCTGCGTTCAGAATAATGACACAAAACAATGAGGGGTATCAGGTTATCAATAACATTCAGGATTGTAGGACTGAGTGTTGACTGAATGTGCCTCCGAGCAACAACACAATGTTGCTTGTGTGTCACAGCTAACGCGTAAAGTCATGTGTTAAATATTTGGCGTGCCGTAAGGTTTAGGCGTTAAGTGAAAGCAATGAGACCCAAATTTGGGTTTTAGGTGGGTCAACACTCAGAGGGAAGCGATATTCTGCCTCACTGTTCAACAAAAAAACAATAATAAACACCATAAAACCATCTGAACTCGAGGTGGACTCACTCTGACTGAGATTGATTTATCATCTGCTGCTTCCAGGGTCGAGACTTTACCGTTAAAGTTCAATATGTGCACGATGAACACAAAACCACAGGACTCGCATTACAAACCTCATCGCTTTTTATTCAAACTGTACACATACAACAGGCGTATCTCATTAAAAAACAAGTAAAAAAAAAACTTTAAAAAAGACAAGAAAATGAGTATCCCCCATAAATACAATATGCCTTTTTTTTTTTTTTTTT